CCTGCTCCAAGGAAAGTACTGGCCAAGCCCTGAGGGGTCAGAAAGGCCCATGTCCCATACACACAAGGGCAGAGTTCTCCTGTTTGGAGCCACCTGCCCAGCCAGGACATCTGGCTAGATGCCATGCCCTCCCTGTCTGGGTGGGTGCCGGTCCTGGCCAGGCCCCAGGTGCCCCCAGAAAGTGCCTGTAGATTCCAAACCCATCAGGTGCAGCCAACCCAGCATGGAGCATATCTCTGAAACCTCCGAGCAGAGACAGATGCTATCAGGCTCCTCCTGGCCCAGCCTGGCCCTGGGTTCCCCTCCCAGACAGGGTGAGGGCAGGGACCCGTTAATCATTAATCTGGGGGCAAATGGGTAAATTTCCAGTCCACCAGGTCTACACCCAAACCCCTCCCTGCAGCCTGGCAGGAAACCCTTGGAGCTTGACCCTTGGCTGGTCCACAGAACCCGATGTCAACTCCGGCTGAGGAGGCCCCCCCCTGACTGGCTTCCACGGTGGAGAGCCACTGGGGGGCTGCAGGGAGCAAAGGGGCAGCAGCCATGCAGCCCCTCAAATGTCCTCCCCACACCAGGGACAGTGCCTATGTTTCAGAAATTGGTACTTTCCTTGTGGCAGCTGATTGACAGATGGCAGAACAAGCAGGGAGTGATAGGAATTTTGATCAACAGTGTTGCACGTCCTTTAAGGCCTGTCTCAAATGCCATTTTAAGAATAATAGCTATTATTGTTGTATCATTACAGGTATATTATGTTATATGAGATGACATATCTACCACTTTGTGAGTGCTTATTACTAAGCCCTTTAAATTACTATGTAGACACCTGAAGAGGTAGTGACTGGGCCGAGTCGCCCAGCAGATCAATAGCAAGGTGGGGCTTAGGATTAGAGTGCACCTTACCCTCCACAGAGGCTCTCGGTGAAAGGGTTTTACTAGTTCAAAAGAGACCTGTACCCTGGTGGCCCTCTACATGGGTTGGCTGCCTTGCTGCTCTGGCCTGTTGATTGAACCAATGAGGGTCACATGGCCCAAGCTGGGCCAATCAGTCCTTTCTCTGGGAATCTGGAATTTGAATTAAGAGAGCATACAGTTGCTTTCTCTCTCTTTTTTGGTGAATGGCCTGTAACTCAGGTGAGAGAGAAAAAAGGAAGCTGGTCTAAAGAGAGAATGAACCAATGCATCAAGAGAGAGGGAGAGAGAATTGGGGGAGCAGGGTCTTCCTGAGGTCAGCTGTGTTCTTGCTTGAGACGCTCCTACCCATAGTACAGCGTCAAGACTTGGAGTTGGTTTGTCTAACCAAGGGTGCCTGCCGCCCCTGACCAGGTCCTTATGCCAGCTGTGGAGTACCAGCGTGCCCCAGGCTGCACCTGTGAGCCGGGCTCCACACCCTTTCCCCATCCACAGGCACATGTTTTGTTTTGTTTTTGTGTGTGTGTGTGTGTGTTTTAATTTCATGTAATAGACGCTGTGATTGATGGCCCCAGGAGTCCAGTATCAAGTCGGTTAATTTTATTAGCGGTAATGACACTAAGTAGCGATTAATGGTGGGGAAAGGCAGCCAACCGCACAGGGACCTCAGGCCACACTGGGCCTTGGGCTGCCCAGGGCTGCCCTCAGAGAAGGCTCCCGGGCACTGCCCCTCAGGGCCTAGCAGGAGGACAGCTGGGAGCCCTTCCAGGACCCAGTTTCCCCTTATTTGTCTTCCATGTTGCAGTTTGAGATATTTCCTTTGAAGAAATAGGGCCCTGACATCAAATTTAGAAAACACCTGAAGGCATCTCCTTAAACAGTGCTTGTGAACTCTTCTCCACGTGCCCGCCCCAGGGCATCCACTAGGGAAGGCTTCTTCCTGGGCCTTGGAAGAATTCTAGGTGGTGCAGGTTCCAGTCTGTTCCAGGTCCGTGGACATGATCCTCTTCCCTTAAAGAAGCCACATTCTCTGGCACCCCAGGCCTGAGAACCCACACACCAGGCCCCTCTGCAAAAATCTCAACGGCCCACATATTAGCTGAGCCCCGTGGGAGTAAACTGGAGAAGATCTAGTGCCCTTCGTTAGTCTAATAAATCCAGGCAAATCTGGGACTCTAATAAAGACAGTGCTCCTCGGTGAGGCCAGACTGCCGGCCAAACAAGTGACCAGCGTTCCGAACCAAAGAGCAGAGGACGAAGAATTCGCAAATTTGCTCATGGCTCTTCTGGGCTGGGGGACGACCTCCCTGCCTGACGCGTGCTCCTGAGCCTCCTGGGGCCTCATTGGTTGCACCTGCTTTGGCCCAGCTGGTCTCCCCCATCCCTGCATCCAGTCCAGCTTCCACAGGCTGATTTCCAGACTCTCCTCTCCCATTAAGAAAATACATGTGACCATCTCCATTCTCCTCCCTTCTTTGGCCACAGCTTATATCCTCTGCCCTCTGCCCCCTGCCCCCTTGGCCCATGACCCTTAGGTTAATAATAAGACAAGAAACCCCCACTCCCATACAATGAGATGCATCTGGCTTTGACCCCAGACCATCCCCAGACATTTCCCTGTCCACCTCGTCTCCCCATAGAGTGGGAAAAGACAAGGGTGCCCCTCAGGGCTCCATCTCACATTCACCCCCACCCCACCCTCCAACCCAGATATCTATTCTGTCCACTCCTGGCCCTTGACACCTCTGCCTCCTTTCACATTCCCCAAGGTCACTCACAGTTTTAGCTGAAGCAGCCTCATCTGGGATGACCTTCAAGTTAGCAAAAGAAGGCTCTCCAGACTTTGGGGAAGACAAAGCCCAAAGCAGGAGACTACTTTGGTTTACCATCAGCAGGACTCAGGAGCCATCAAACCCCTGCAAGAAGTGGGGTTCATCCTGAAACAATCACCCATCACCTGCTGGAGTGTGGGGACCCAAGGACCTCAGGTTCCCAAGGCGGTTCTGATCTGGGCAGTTGGGTCCCAGGTCTGCCCTCACTCGCTGGTGACCGTGAGGATATCCACTCACCCCCTGAGGCGTTCCATCTAACAGGTACACGGTGACTAGTGTGAGAGCCTGACCGGGGCCGGACGGCTTGAATTCAAATCCCACCTCCCCCTCTTACTAGTCGTGCCACCTTGGAAAAGGGACGCCACCTCTCTGTGTTTCATCTGTAAAATGCAGGTCTCACCATGCCCGCCTCACAGGGCTGTCCTGGGGTGAAATGAGTTCACATTGTAAAGCTCTTAGAACACTGCCTGGCACATAATAAGCTCCAGGTAAGTGTCCTTCTTAAGTACCTACTATGTGCCGGGCACTGTGCTGGGTGCTAGGACCCCCTCCTGCCCTCAAGGAGCTCACAGTCTAGAGAAAACATAGCTGAATGCAAGAGTACCCAGACTCTCCTGAGGCCCCAAGGGGCAGGGGAAGGAGAAGGAAGTTTTGAACCAGCCCAGCTCCCCGAGGAACAATCAGTAGCTGCTCAGGGACCCAAATCATCTGGGTGAGAACCTGACTGTGGCCAGTCTCCGTCCTGCCTGTAGTGGGAGGTGGGGGCGGGGGAGAGCGGGGGAGGCAGGGGGAAGCTCCCAGACCTGGCAGGTGGAAAACACTTCCCATCACCTGAGGGTTCCCCAGGCTCTGCTTTCCCACTCCCCCCTCCACTCTTGTTTCTGCCTGAGAGGGTCTGATGGGTCCAGAGGAGGCCGCCCCCAGGATGTGGTGGGTAAGTGGGGGTTGGCACAGGACAAGGCTGGTGGTTTCCAGGGCACCAGGTCATGCCAGCATGTCTGGACCCTTAGCTGGAGGGGCCAGGAGCTGTGCCTGGCACCAGGGCCCATGCCAACTGCAGGCAGCTGCCTGGGAACCAGGAAAGCCTTGCCCTGCCTGGAGCTTTGGCCTTGGCCCTACAAACCCTATTAGATGCTCTGATAACAGGCTTCCGCTGCAGGGCCGTTTACATGGTAAGTGCTCCTTTGTGCTTTCATCTCAAACATCTCGGCCCACTTTCCCAGCCCTCACTGGACCCCTTCTCTCCTCTCTCTCTCTTTCTCTCTCTCTCTCTCTCTCTCTCCCTCCCTCCAACTTGTTACCCCCCTCCATGCTCGCTCTCCATTACCCACCTCTTCCCAGAAGGGGAGAGTTAGTGAGGGCAGTGACTAGCCCAGGAAGCGAGCATCCATGGTTCTGAGCAAACAGTCCTTCAGACAGGGGCCCCTCCACACCCGCCCCAGGCTTCTCTCCCCTCTTCCTGCCCTCAGCTGTCCTGAGCAGCACACCCTTCCCTCCATGCTCAGACTCCGGCCCCCTCTCCTGGAGTCAGCGTCCCCTCACGCCTCCCCCAGGAAGAAGTCCTTGATGAGCAGCCTGGCCAATTCAGCCGTCACATGTCCTAGCTTCACTCCCACTCCCTCCTTTCACTCACCCACTCATTTAAAATCAAGATGGAGGATTTTATTGAGCATCAGCTTCATGCCAGGTTTACCCACAGAAGACTGAAATAAACAAGGACCTTCACTACTTTCCTGTCGGGGTCCCCCAGCCCCTCCTGGGTCCAGCCTTTCTTTGTCCCCTAGCTCTCAACCTCAGAACCCACCTTGAGGACTGCATCTCGTCACCACCTCCCCCCAGGAGCCCACCAGAGCCTCCCCACCACCCCCATCCCCGCCCAATCCCTGGCTTGGAGAGAAAGAGCCGGTCCCAGCTGTGGGCTTTGTCTCTCCAAGAACAGCTCTGCTTCCTGTTTCCGCAGGCTGGGCTGCCCGCGGAGGCTGGCATCGGGGAGACGTGCTCATGAGCTAAGTGGGCAGCAAGCAGCCCACGCAGCAAACATGCTTTGCATCTCAACGATCTCCAATATTCACAGCGTAACGAGTGCAACATCTGGGAAGGAAATGCTCCCCCTTCCTCCCTCCCGTCTCCCTCCCTCTCCACTCAGGCTCAGGCTGAAGCTGAGGGGAGGAAGCCTTCGTCCATCACATGCATGGATCAGGTGCACAGAGGGTCCCCAAAGTCAGTCCTGTGCAGAGACATCCCGCGCCTCTACATCTCCCCCAGGCCCCTGGCTGGGTCCAAATGTACACCATTTGAATTATTATCTTTTAGGGCTGAATAAACCCTGCAAGATCACCCTGTCCCAAGGTTTTGCCATGATGGCTCCTGGGGGTATCTCAGAGGCTTCTGGGGGGAAAGAGGAGGGCAAGAGGTTTGCCAAGTGTCTGCTTTGAACTGCCTGGTGCCTTGGGAATCCATGTAAGATTGTCCAAGGTGACCCACTGAGTTCGTGGCAGGGCTAGGACTATGCCCCAGGTCTCCTAACTGTTTCTATCAAGCCGTCTGGTGGTCTCCGCTTTCAGCTTCAGTGTAAAATCAAAACCAGACACCACCACAGCAAACGCCTAGGATGATGGGAGTGCAAGACAGGTAGGTTTGAAGGGAAGGAAACCTGGTCAGGACTCCTCTGGTCCCCTGGGCAGCCCAAGGGAGCGAAGGTCCCTTTGTTTAAAAGGCTACTTTGCCCTGGTCTAACACTGACTCTTCTTTCAGCCAAAAGTCAGAAATAGAGCTTCTGACTTGAGAGAAGCAGCCTGCTTATTCACACTAAAGCAAGAGAGTCCGATATGATGCTAGTGCCGAGCACATACTTCGCTAGAAAGAAAAATGGTCAGAGGAGAGCCTCTGGGATTGTGAAGAGAGAAACTGGGTGGGGAGAGTAGAGAAAAAGGAGGCCAGGAGCCCTAAAGACACGCTTCCCAAGGTTCTTTGGTCCAGAGGCCCAACCCTGGCCCAGAGGAGGAGCGAAGTAGGAGGCGTGGAGTGGGGACTGCAGGGAAAGGCGAGCAGTTGCTGAGGCTGCCTCTCCTCATGGCAAGCAGCACCCCCATCCAGCTCTGCCTCAACCACGGGATGCTGCCTCCTGGACGGGGCGACTCTGGCCAACTTACGAATCATGGTAAGTTGACCGACCAACTATAACTAGTGTGGCGTGCTCTTGAGTGGCCACCCTCTTTCCTATGGACAGGCAGGCTCAGCTGGGCTGTGGGTCCTGGGAGAGCCAGGCCCCTAGGGAACGTCTCAGGTGCTCACTCTGTGACAAGGACAGTTCCATTATTTGCAGATGCTCTAGGCAGAGACGTCTGGTGCTGCAGACTTCATTTGTCCTCCCGCAGGTCCCAGGGATGGCCCACACCCCTCCTCTCAGCTCCAGAAATAGCAGGGACCTCCTAACCTGGTCAAAAAGTCACTTCCTGAACATGCCTAGGGAGGGCCAGAGTGGTCCAGGACAGCCCAAGGGGCTGCTCCCTCGGGAACAGAGCGGGGACCTCCAGAGCAGGACCACAATAACGTCCCACCTTGGACCATGCTGGCCTCACAGCGAGCCTGGGCTGCAGCACAGGGCGCGGCTCCTCAGGCCAGGCCAGTCTCCTCCTTGCTCTCCAGCCATGGCTCTCACTCCAACCTCTATGCCTTTCCTCATGCTGTACCTCCTAGCTGGATGCCTTTCAGTCCAAAACCCCTCATGGATCCCCTGTACCTATTTATGTATGTAT